ATTCTCTGGGATGCCACAGGCATGGGACTTGCAGAGAATCTACTCTTGCTGCAGAACTGTGTTCCAGATTTTAATTAACTGAGTTTCCTCTGTCAAGGCTTTCCTGTGAAAGCCTCCCACAGTAAAAACACTTCTTAAGAGTGTTATGCTGCAGCAGATGAAAATAAATCCAGCTCTTGTATTTTCAGAAATTTTCTTTGAAAGAACATAATTTCAAGAACTACAGTCACTCATTCCAGATACATGGTTCATGAACTCAAACCCATCATGTCCAAGTACTGCATGTTCTCATCTTTCCTAACTGCCATATGCTACTAAGTCATTTCATTTCATATGCAACCTCATGGCTCCAGGCTTCATGGGCAGATGGCTCTTTGCCACCTAATCAAATTCACACATCAAGGGCATCCCAAGGGAGGTCCTTTGTAGAACATATTTTCCTTCAGCTCTTCTCCCTTTCTTGAACATTTGCACATCAGTACAAACTTGTACTAACAAAAGGTTCCTAATTTTTCATATATGAGACACTTATTTTTCAACTAAGCCCAGCGTAGTACAAGCAGTTCTATCCCATTCACTCTAAAAATACAATTCAGTGCCTTGGAACTTCACAGGATACCCACACAGTCCTTAATATCCCTTTTGGTTCTGTTTTGGGTTCTTCTTCCATACCCACATCCATTCATTGGGCAGAACACATCTATGTCCTCTGCCACCACATATGCAGTTATAACAATGCAACTGTACTCCTGCAACCAAGTGACAGTTTTGGCGGTACTGCACCAAGATTGATGCAGTAGCTAAATTCAGATGCCTTCTAATTTTCTTTAACTGTGTATTGATAAAGCTGGATTTTCATGGATTAGCTCATCTTAAAGTAGGCTTGTGGCTGTTGCCTTTGATGGACTCATAATCTCAGAGTTGTATTTGACTCTCTAAAGCATCCTATTAATCAGACAGGACAGTTCTCATACTAGTAACTGTGGTATTTCTTCAAGCCACTGTGACCTACATTGCCGCACCGGGTTGGTTAGATTCCTTTTATCACATTTTACTGCCACAATTTCTGAAACTCTTTACTTGCTGTGTTACCTATCACATCCATTAAATACTTGTATAAGCACACATCTCATCTGTCTGAATGCACAGGAGGGTCAGGGTTAGCCTGGCACTGACAAAACATTTTCACAAACCTCTACAATTCTTCCACTTAAAAAATACTGCTTTCTTTTACATACAGGATCTCCTCAGCCTATCCCTTCTAGGACATTTTTTACAGGCATCAGGATAGTTACAATAAGGTCACCTACACTGAGAGTGACTAAACCCTCTGCTTTACACCTTCTTCTCTAAAGAAGGATCAGTGTAGTAATTTTTAATATTGCTGTCAACAGCTACAGAAAAAAACCTCACCCTGTTAAGATTTGTGAGACAAACAAAGCTGTTCCATAGGAATGTTTTGAGGACACCTAAAACCAGTTTTTTAATCTATATTAAAAAGAAGCAATCAGCTATCCAGTACTGGTTATTTTAAGATAACACATCTGGAAGGGTGTTATTTGAAATGTTTTTATAGAAGAGCAATCGTGGAATTGTGATGGTATATATTATCATATTGACACTGCAGATGCCAAATAGAGTAGAAAGTGGAAACAAAGATGTCTCTATGCGAGTTATTTTCGATCATTCACAGTAGCACTTAATAAATCCCATTTTACGTCTAGCTTTTCTAAGCAATTTAATATTTTGTGCCTCAGACTACAGCCAAATAGCGTGCAGAGCTCACCCTCCCATACTACAGTAAGTCATCTCTGCAGATTAAAAAAGGGCTGTCCCAGAGAACACCATGACCCAGAAGCCAAAGATACAGCGTTTACAATTTGTTCCAGACATCACCTATTTAGCTACACAGAGTTCTTTATATTTACAGCCCCTTCTATTGCTCTGCTGAGAGTAGTAACCTGAATATGCCAAGAACAGAGTGGGAGCCTGCTAAACATGGACTAAATTTACTTCAGTGTCTCATAGCTGCAACAGTTTCACCAGTGCTGCACAGGCACAATATCAGCAATATAATTTATAATCAGTTAAGCTAATCATCCCCATGCCCCTTCCACAGCCCCTTCTTCCCCAAGGACAGATAAAAGTCATCTTCTTTTGAGAAACTACTTAGCCATTTCAACAGACAAGAGGCCCTGTGACCCAGAAAGTGTTATTTTTGACAAACTTCAAGCTGTTTTGAAACTACAAAAGACAAAATCTAGTTAAGTGGAGGTTTGCAGAAAGATCCGAGTTCTTGATGTTATTAAAAAAAACCCAAACCAACCCACGACTGTCTGCTCCTTAATGCCATTTTCTCTGTAATCAAAGCCATATTATATATACTCTAAAATTAGCATTCGGCTTGCTAGCCTAAGCTAGGTCCTCAAAATACTTAAAAAAAAAAAAAACAAACCCAAACCAACACAAAACACCCCACCCACAAACCCCTGTGGTTTTTCTAACAATAACAGGAAGGTGTTCTACAAAGCATTTTTTGTTCTTCTCTCTTTTGATAACATGGCTTCATAGCCCTCTCTGTCTGGCCCAGAGCCATGCAGCCACCAAAGCTGCTTTCTGCTTCCTGAGGTGGTACTTTAATATACCAAATTCTGACAAAAGCACCACTCTGTCGCTTGAGTTTTGATAACTAATTGCACCCTATTGGCCTGACCTAAATTAGGAGCCTAGTTAACACTCTATCTAGTTTCTCAGCACTGACCAGACTCAGATGCAAACTTGAAGCCATGCTCTTTGGAGCAGGTGAGGTTGAGCACGAACAGGAGCAAGTCCCTTGGTGCTCAAAGTTCAAAACCAGACTCAGTTTTGGCCTTTTTCCAGAATGAGGTAGCTGCATCAAGGGGTGCTGCAGGCAACAATTTTGGATTTAAGCAAGCAGAACAGGTACTCATGTCATCTAACTTAATGGTTAGCTAATGCTAGTGTTCTAAATTTCTCACCTAAACGTGCTTCATTCATTATCTTGCCAACAAAGACTAGAAACTTAAAATTATTCAGGAGACCAAAGTGCAAAAATCATACTCATCCAAAGTCCCTCTAGGTCCTACTTTAGGCCCTAGGTGCTTTTTTCTTTTACCCAGACTCTAAGCAAAAAACTGTAAGTACTGCCAATCAATAGGAGTTCAAACAGAGTTAAGAAAACTGTTAAAGGAAGATGCTTTAAGGTAAGGAATTCTAGATACCAATTCTTCACAGGAGCAAGCTCATTTTTATCTGTTTCTTTTCCAATGTGACCTATCTCAAGTGACTTCATGCTTGGAACAAAAGAGCATGGAGGAACACCACTGGGTCAGTTATAATAGTCTGGATTGCAGCTACTGCTTCACACTGACAAAAGGAAATCCTACGGGGAAAGCAGTGAGGCAGAGCAGCAGAGTAGAAAGATCTATGAACATGCTTCAGCTACTGGAACTCCTGAAAAAGTGCTGTATTAGGTCAGAACAAAGGTCAGTTTTGTTTTTTTTCTTTCTGACAAGACACCAGTAGCAAATATGAAACAGGAAAGTGTGTAAGAATAAAACACTCCTAGACTGTTAATAGCTCTGTATATTTTACAGTTAGAGGTAGTCAGTAATTTAGGACATTTCTGAGTGGAGAATGTACTTAAACTAATAGTTATAAATATCACATTCCACATACAAGTCTAATCCTTTTGACCCTATGACTTTGCAAAGTCTCATAGCAGGAAGTTCCACTACTACATCACACAGCGTTAGAAATAAAAGTTTGAATCTTGCTGCCTGATAACTTCACTGAAATCTCAATTATTATAAGCCAGCAAACATTTCCAAATCAAAGTCATGGACAATATCAAACTCGTCCTCTGTCACATTTTAGTTTTCTATCTTTTTTAAAAAAATAGCATTGAACATGGTATTGGAGAAGATGACAAACCCCAATTTTAAGTAGTGGCATATTATTGTTTGTCTTGCTTTTTTTTTTTAGGCTGCCATTGAGCCCTAACCTAGCATTTGCAGAGAAGCATGTTGGCAGCAAGATTTTCTTCCTTAGCAGAGTTTAGAACTTCTAAGTCTTCATTATTACACACATGATGTACAGTGATCTGCCTTTATGAGCACTAAGATAAACTGGGCACTTTAGCACTCATCTATTCAGTATCAAGAGATCTTTCCAAAACTCAGTAAAGGAAGCTTCAGATTTAATGTACTTTCAGCTGAAAGTCACAAAGTAACTTTTAAAAACATGCTTTGTATTATTGAGTCAAAAATCTTACTGTCTATAAAGCCCAATATTTCTCCCCATTCTGTGGCTCGAGTAGTTTGTACAGAACTTGTTTTGGAATGCTTGTGAAAGTGGGAACCCAAATTGCAGTTAGAAGAGACAGAGCCCTTAACATAGCAAGAGATTTTAAATATCCCAGTAGAGCATATTAAAACCTATGCACATTCCCATTTTAAAAACATACAGCTGTTCTAGTTTTTAATGCAAAAGCAACATAACTATCACTCTTAGAAAAATACCAAGTGTGCCTCAAGATGGAATTCATCACATCACTTTTAACTTGCACCTCCTATCAAGCCTGTATTGTATACAGGCTATACAGTACTATGAAGTGTACAGCAAGTTACTAAAAATGTGTATAAGACAGATCAACATCTTAATACCCTTTTGGAAAACAGATGTATTGTTTAGTCTAAAATGATTTCACAGCCCAAATTGATGTGACAGTAATTTAATATATTCCTGCATAAAATTTAAAAGACTAGTACAATGCTTAAGGCTGAAATTCAACCCTATAAACAAGAACTAGTGCAAGATTCATATGCTAGTAAAGTACTATTAAAGCACTGTTTATTGCCTATTTGGAAGTAAAGCAATACATAAAGCATCGGTATGTGATCAGCAATGGTGATTCCAAGAGGAACCCCTCTTAGGAAAAAAACTTGGAAAATCCTTGTACGAAAGATTTCACTCCCAAATATTTTTCTGGAGTTAAGCGTAGAAACACAATTTTCTTAAGAAGCTGCCTTGAAAGGTTAAGTTTTGAGAGAGAGAGAGATCAAAATACAGGAGGTTTGAAGGCAGGGTAGAACTACAACCTGATTTTCAATAAGTGTCTTTGACACCAAGACAGACCTGTATTACAAATAACTCCATAGCACTTTACAAAATGTACACTATATATATTATATACGCACATACATCAGTATTATTTCAGTCACTAAGTTCTTCCTCATCACTGAAATAAGCACTTTTTTTAATCCGTGGACGTTTTGAATCATCTGAAACTGAAGATTCCCCTGCAGTCTGTGTCCATCTTTGTTCTTCTTCCTCAATTTTGGCTTGCTACAATGAAAGAAGGAAAAGAATTAGCTAGGATTTAGAAAAATTAAGATGCATTACAAATAATAACACTAATCATTAAGATGCATGGAATTATTTAATAAGATAAGGAATTCAAAAGGTTTCTCTCTGTTTCCAATTAAACTGTGTGATGAACGCACTGAAAAACACTTCTGAAAGTAGATCTCACATGCAAACAGTAAGTCTTCTGCATCAATGCAGGCCACATGGAGCACCCTCTGTTTCCAAAGAGAGGAACTCTGCCCATGGCAAACCTACAGAACTACAGAGCAGCTGACATCTGAAGCAAAGAATGCATCAGGTTTTAAATTGACATTATTGCATCGGCTTTGTTCCACTGACAAGACTTCTGCCTGTTGTCTTTCGCAGTCATTCATTCAGGGAATGAGTGTCTTGAGGAATGTAAAGGTCATTCAACTGAAGGTTCAAACAGATTCTTCTGATTTTTACTGGGAAATATGCTGGGCTAATTAAAATCTTTGGATGGCAAGAGAAATAGGAATGTTTCATGGCTTGTTCACATTTATAGGTTTTATTTCCAATTGTGGAGTTTTCAGAGGGGACAGGGGATAACTGCATATTTGCATAAATTTTTTGGACTACATCATGTAAAAGTTTTGCACTCATTACAGTCATATTCAGAACAAAGTTATCTTAAAAACTCTTGAGAAGTTTTTTTGGGGAATGGGCATGCAGGGGACAGCTGAGGACTAGTGAGCCAAGAAATCTGAACATCACAACAGGCTTGCTCTGTGTCATAAGCAAAAGCCTGTGAAGAAGTATTAAAGAAGACAGTAATACAGCTGTCAGAGTATCTCTCCAGAAAACAAAAAAAACAGTAAATATTTTTAGAGAGAAGAGGTCTATTAGAGACCACAATGGACTGCATCACGCACAGGAAGTGCTCCAGAAATAGATCTTGTTCAAGTGATTGAGGGCAGAGCATGTACCTGGTCATTTATACACGATTGGTTTTTCTGTCTGCTCAGTTAAAGAGGGATTTGTGGACCAAAAACCTCATAAAGCATCACAGCAGAGATGACAGGAAACTAAGCAGCAAAAGAGCTTGAAGGAAAGAAAGAATTGCCATGCACAAACATAGCCAATAGCAAAAGTTAAAAATTCTCATAAAAAGATAAAAACCCAAAAGAGCAAAAAAAAAAAGCTCCTCAATGCCCCCATGCCAGAGCATGCCTGCAATATGAAGAAACCACCAACTACTGCCAGGCAAGAGTGCCCCGAGTGTACAGAGTGTACAGATATAAGGGTGTATTCTCAGAGCTTTTGAAAAGCAGCTAGAAAAACACAAGTAGAGCAGCATTTGAATAGCAATAAATAATAATAAATATTAAATGTGCAATGCCTCAATTCTGTACCTGAAAAGCTATGGCTTGGCTGAGGCTATCTAGAGCAGGGTCTTCTCCTTCCTCTTCGCTTTCTTCCTCCCCCTCACTTCATTATGCAGGAGAGAGAAAAATATACAGATCTTTATTTTAAGTGTCTGGTATTAAAAAGCTTCCTAAAAGTAGTAGCATGTAAATAATTGTACATACATTTCTTCTGGCTCAATTACTTTCTTTCTCTTCTTCTTTTCTTTTTTTTTTGGTGGCTCCCGCTCTCCTAGCATATTTTTAGGGCAAGCATAACTTAAGTGTCCTGCTTCCTTGGAGAAAAAGAAATATTGCTTAACAGAAGCCATTACAAACAACTATATGTTAAAATACATCATGAGGAAAGTTATTATAGGACAGTTCGGGGGGGGGGAATGGAAGCAATTAGTAAGATAAATGGAATGCTGAATTAGCACACAGAAGACAAACTCTTCTCTATCAGCTTGCCATGGAAACCAGGAGATGGGAGGTGACACGCGTGTCTAACCGCAGATGGGGGAATGCTGTGAGCAAGGGAGATTTCCTCTGGCTGTTGCAATAGCTGAACACCTCAGCTTTTATGCTCAAGACAAGACATAAACTTCTGCATTAACAGTTTAAGAAACAGGAGACAACATTTGTGCTTTAAAAAGTGTTAGGAATATAAACCAGGTGTGTATTTGACATGAAATACTATCCAAATCTCAGTCTTATATGTTATTATGTTCAGAAAAGTGAAGAACTGCCTACCTAAATCACATTTCTGTATAAAAACAGTTGCTTCTAATGTTTGTTTTAGTGCCAACTATATGACAAACTTCCAAAGATATAGCAAAAGCAGGTATTTTGAAGCAAAGATTAGGAAATTTTCCTTCTCAAACAGCATTATACTAATACTCAGATCTGTCTGCTCATCAGCATGTTAAGCAGCAATCGTATCTACAGATTTTCCCCCACCTCCAAAATCCCAAGGAAAAGACAAAGGGGGTACTATCATCCTTGGAAATTGGACAACTGTTAAGCAAGATAATATCAACAGAAAAAAAAAGTATAATTTACCAGCATGGGCAGGATTAGCAATGGCCAAATTGAAGAAATAACTTAAGAGTCTGTGCTGGTTTGGGCTGGGGTGCAGTTAATTTTCTGCATAGTAGCTGGTATGGGGCTATGTTTTGGATTTGTGCTGAAAATAGCGTTGATAATACAGAGATGGGTTTGTTATTTTTGAGCAATGCTTATACAGTCAAGGCCTTTTCTGCTCCTCGCACCACCTTGCCAGCAAGGAGACTTGGGGTGCACAAAAAGCTGGGAGGTGACACAGCTGGGACAGCTGGCCCCAACTGACCAAAGGGATATTCCATAACATATGGCAACAGGCTCAGCTATAAAACTAAAGGGAAGGTTGGATGGGGGGCCGCTGCCTGAGGACTGGCTGGGCATCGGTCAGCTGGTGGTGAGCAATTGTTTTCATTCACATCAATTGTCTTTCTTGGGTTTTATTTTTCTCTGTTATTTTCCTTTTCATTACCTTATTAGTATTATATTTAAATTATTAAACTGCTCTTATCTCAACCCATGTGTTCTCTCACTTTCACTCTCCTAATTTTCTCCCCCCAGTCCTGCTGTTGGGGGTAGTGAGCAAGTGGCAGGGTGGTGCATAGTTGCCAGCTAGCCTTGAGCCACAACAGAGTTAAAAGATGGGACACAGGAGTTCACCTCTGGTTTTACTCACCCCACATTCGTAACACTTAGACTTATCAAAGTAGTTACGCCTGCGAATGAATTCTGCTGCTCTTCCATTATCAATGGCAATACTGGCTTTTATTACTCTTCCAAACAACTACAGCAAATTGGAAAAAAAAAAAGTAAATATTTTGAGACTGTAAACCCAACCCCTCCTGCCATAACAACTTTTCACAATTTACCTGTTTATTATTAAGTGCCCGAGAACAGTTTTGTGCAGATTCTTTATCCAAAAACAAAATAAAGGCAACTCCTTTGCTCTTCCTGGTGTCTTTGTCTTTCATAATAGTAACTCTGAAAACATATAACCACATTACTGATACACTAAAATTACTTCAGAGACATTTTTTTTCTTTACGATCTCAGTAGGATCTTAGTTTTGTTATATGGCAAAAAAGAAAAGGTATATATAAGAATGGAAAGGCTCACTAACAGAAATTCAAAGGAACATCTAACCTGGCCACATGCTTACAAGTAGTGTGGGGTCTTTATGGATTGAGTATTATTCTTTATTCCCTTGGATGACTTGAAGAACAGAGAACATGCTCTTTAGATTTGCAGGCAACCTAACTGGTGGGTACTAAACATACAGGAGGTGAAATTAAAATTCAGGAATAATCTTGGACATAAAAAAACCTCCTAAAAGCTACAAAAGACCCTGCATATTGAACTGTATTCAAACTGAGAAATCGATGTTTGTGTAGGACTAACCACCTCCACAGGTGGTTAAGTATACCTAGTATTGTTCTACAAGTATCTCCAGCTGGAATTTAAGCAGGTCCTGGATGCATGTGTTATTTTACATGACATACAAAGTTAAATCTTCAGTCTAACAATGGAATCAACAGCTCCAGTAGCACATCAAGAAGTTCAAGAAATATTTAGATCCAGTAAGAACAACAAACAAATAAAAAGAATGCCAAGAGGTGAAGGGGGCAGGGAGGGGGGAACCCACACCACCTCAGTTCTTTCAATCTCAATGTTAATTATATTTAGCCCTAAAAATACTGAGTGGGAAACAGAATGCCAGTCTGCATGTACATAGAAGTACATGTTAAAAAGTAGGGAAAAACTCCTTGTGTCCACCAGAGGCAGAATACTACAAGCCTAAACTGAAAGCAACAGGACATTAATAAAGCACCCAACAAACAAATTCTCCTTCAATGCAGAGGGCCTGCCAGAGAACCTAAGTAACAGATGACCCACACAGTAAGAAGTGTATAAAATAAGAGCTCAGTAAAGAAAGCTCAATTTTTCCCCCAGGTACATGCATAGAAAGATAGAGCTTAGAATTCTGAGGGTTTTTTTACCAAAGCCTCTTGGACACATTTGTGTCCAATAGAATGCATTGAGTTTAAGTGTCAATAAAACTGACTTCAGAACAATTCTATCAGTTCTTTTGCCAAGTTACTCTTCCAAGAGTTCCAATGGCACCCTAATATGACTGTTGGGGTTCTAACTGGGATATTGAATGTACCAGTTAATAGCACAAACATAGAAATAAACAAGTGTGACAAATCTTTAAAAAGTTAGCAACTTCTTGGAGCCCTAGGAAGTCTGATTTGTCACTGAACAAACTCAGCTGAAATCATAATAGTTAGGATGTATGAGGGTGAGAAATGCAGTACAGAGGAAAAGTCAGCATGATTTTGCTGACTTAAGACACACTTCAAAAAAAGGTCTATTAAAGATTACTTAATTAAGTTAAAGCTGACCTACATAAATCAAGCTAATGTTTGAAAAGATTTTTCTTGGGAATTAATGACTAGTTAGGAATAGGAAACCTGATCCTTGTTAGCCTGTTTCATAGGGAAATGGGAATACCAGTAGAACCCTACGGTATCTGCTCTCTTTATAGCCAGGTCAGCTTGCAAAGGGATGAAGAGTAAACAAATTTTGCTAGCTACAAACAACCCCCAAAAACCAAACAGTCAAAAAAAAGCATTATAGTATTTTACACATGGTATTTTGTGACTCTTTGCATTTGGTTTAACTTCTGGCAGTGAAAAGACAAAATGTCAGGAAAAATTAGGTATCAGCAAGTGATTTTTTTTCTGAACAATATATAGGTGGGGGAAAACAGTAACTGCAGAGATAGAATTGTAAGTTCTACATTAGCTACTTTCACACAGGCTGCAGTCCAGGGTTTCTTCTGCATAGGTATCTGAAAACACCATTTCTGTTGTCTATGATATTAAAAAAAACCCCAATCAATCATATAAAACACTAGAAACTATTAAAAAAAAAAAAAGGGAAAAAAAAAGATAGAGAATGCTGCTATAACACCTTTAAAATAAGCAACGCATAATACAGCCAATACTTCACACGATTCTCATCCTCCTATCAGGCAAGTTCAAGACAGCAGGAGACCCCCACCCCCAAGCACACAGCGTACAGGTATATTGCCAAATGACAGCAGGCAGGTCAGAAGTGTCATATTTAGGAAGACTAGGCCCCTCAAGGCAGAAACACAACCTTTACTGTTGTGGTGTTACTACAACCTTTGGTCAGGATTTTTCTAAATCAGTAGGTCAGCAATCAACTAAAACAGGGAAGACAACCCACCCTGGAAACAAGATAACTGGTCAGTGCATGTCTATGAGAGCCATACACAAGGTTTTCCTCTCAGGCAATTTAAAAAATGTGTTTTCTAAAGCTGTATGTTGGCTTTGTCCTGCCGTTTGTCACACGAAACACACTCCTGAGCTCAAAAAAATTTGAATTTAGCACTGTATAACTCAGATTACTACAGCACTCACTTTTAAACTCATCCCCTCATGTCACAAGTTGTGTTCTGGGGACAAGGAACCACATTTACCACAAGAGTACTGTTTCAACTATTTCAGAGAAAAGACCATTGGTATATGACAACAATCTACTTGATCTTAAGAATTGGTTACCTGTTCCCAACACAAATATTCTTACATTATGGTTGTAACTGCAAGAACTTCCAGTTGTTATATTTATACTTTATTAAAAATGAACAGGACTTCAACACAGTTCCACATTCATCCTTAAATTATAAAAAGCACAAGACTTTCAAGTGAAGCAAAGACATTAAATATTTAAAATGAAAGCTACAAAAATAGCAGGCCATAGCAGGTCACTTACTTGACAACCTTCCCATACTTTGAAAAGATCTGAAATGTAAAACAAAGTAAAAAGATTTAATGATAGAACATTGCATTTCATTAGGAATAACTTTATCAAGACAAACTTTTCTAAGATATCTATCTGTATTGTATTTACACTCAAAATTTTTGTCAACAAGTTTACTCTGAACAATGTGGCTCTTAAAAACTTACCCTGTACAGGTCGTTGTTTGTCAAAGCAAAGGGTAAATTGGACACGTACACTGTGCTTTTGCTTGGTGCCAACCCACCGCTCATTTTTCTGAGCGAGAAAGAGAGAAGAGTTAAAAATGTATTCAACAGAGAAATAAATTAAAAAACAGTTGCAAGACTGACTCTTAAAGTTGTTTTTCCAAACCTAGCCCAGACAGTCATGATAAAGTTGCAGGAAACCATAGCTTTCATTTCTTTTTCTTCATTTTACACAAAATCAGTGTTTGCCTTCACGTGCTACAGAAGATGTACATTCCTTCCTTCTCCCCTGGATCCAAAGCACATTTTTGCTGCATACGAGTCAATTTGTAAGTCACGGGAAGAAAGACAAGTCTGTGTACTTAAAATAAACCTCCACTGATTTATGCAGTAAAGAAAGGTTTCAGTCCAGAAAGAAACAATTAATGTCCATTTATTAAGCATTATGGCCTATACATGAAGTTATTGACCTTTAAGTACCTGCACAATCTGATTTTTTATACAAGTTGCAGTTCAGCTTTATTCAACATAGAATAAACCACAACTGGTTAAGGAGGCTAGTGAGGGGGAAGCTTCCCTAAAGCAGAGTCCCAATTATTGGAGGGGGGAAGATACTACACTGACTTTAACATGTATCTAAGATGCTAAGGCAGCAACCATTTCTTGCTTAGTGCTAAAAGTCTGTGCCATACTTCTTCCCTTTGATCCATTCTGCAGCCATGGCTCGGTCCAAGACCTAAGCAAGTAAAATTCAAGACCAGAGTAAAGCACAGCCCTTAGGAGAGGGCACATAAAATAGTACAGCAAAACCATTCCATACACAGTCCAAATACTACCTCCTC